CGCGGTCGTCACGTGCGCATGGGTGCGCATCAGCGCTGCAAAACACATGCGCTGCTTGAAACTGTCCTGCGACCCCATCTGAATGAGTGAGAACGAGCCGAGATTTCGTGGACGACAGCACCTCAGCTTCAAGTTTTATGGAGATGATGTTTTGCGTCAGCCTGAGACATTTGTAGCCATTCATGGGTTTGTTTTGTTTACATCCTCAAGTTATCTCCTCTGCCGCAAGTGCGTATAGCTTCTGACCTTTGTGCATAATCTTATAGTTACTAAGGTTACGTGCGTGGTCCACACTTCGCTAGGGCATGGTGTGGTGGCACTGGCTGCAGAGCTTCTCTTAACGGCAAAAAGACCCCAGAGCACATCTTGGCCCTGACTATAGAGCAGTGCGAAACATTTTAGAACTGCACGCGATGTTGTCCTTTCTTTATTACGATATGCTCAAAGATGCAAAGAAATATGCTTGGATGCATATCTCGGAACGCTAACCTATGCGGAGTGAGGTGGCTCGTGGAAAGAGGTGATGCTAGATGAAATAGCGAAGTTCATTGGACATCTCATTTATAGAGGGATTATTCACATCACCGGTATCTATCTATATTGGAATACCTGGACGCTCTTATCGTAAGGCAACCAAAATTTACTGGGAAGTGTGTACGAATACACCTGTGCCTCACAAAAAAAAAAAAAAAAACATGCAGTGCTTTACCGCATGGCATGAGCAATGAAGCAACGCCTTGGTTCTGATTTTCTTCGTCTATGTGAAGAGAAACATTTTGTGCAGCATTAATCATTTTCATACCGTTCATCGGTCATTTATCTACAATATGTATATTCAGAATTTTCTTTGTTAATATTTTTGCATATATAGTGTTTTTATTGCACTGTTTACTAGCTGGTGATGAAAAATTTCAGACTTTTCACATTTTTATTCATTCTTACATATTTTTTTTTGCTCTATAGCATATATTTTTTGGAAAGAACATTTCATTCTGCAATGTTTGGTATGCTACATCGCGTGCTGGAGTACTTCTCAACGCGTGCTGGAGTACTTTTCAAACTGGCAACAACGATCTTCTTGAGACATATGAAAAACAATCACTCTCGCACGGTAATGAAAGAGTTAAGGATATCATAGTAGAAATTGAAGGGGTGCTGACACAAAAAATTTGGCCTCGTGTTTTTCTGCTGCAATGCGTTGCTGTAGGGCTGTTAGTCATGACACGACACATTGTTTGCTGCAGCACACAGTAGATAAATAATTATAGGCCCCTCATTATCGATCAGTTTTAGTTTGAGAAAATTCTAAAAACTGGGTGCCACCTAGCGTGTGCAATTCTTGACCACGTCAGCACACAGAACTGTGACGCACTTCCGCACGATCCACATCAAGAATTACTTTTGAATAGGAAACGGCACTTGAATGTCGCCAAACACAAAACTTTCTAAGCGTGCGCCACGGCCACGCTCTCACAACCAGCCGCCGAGAAATGTAGACTTTGGAAACTGGCGGCTATGACGTCATCATATGACGTCAAGAAAAATGGCTGCTATGACGTCGTCATAACTTGTTTTGTTGACCGCAGCGTGGTGACGTGAGGGAAGGAGGGGGTCACCTCGGGGTCACCTCCAAGGGTGCTATGGAGTCTGTCACTCACGAAAACTTCAAAATTCATTTAAAATACCTTCTAAGCTATATTCGCTATTGATATCTTGCAGATGATATACGAATGTTCACGAGAATTGACCCCGCAGGCTATCTCGGCCCCAAAATTTTGTGTCAGTGCCCCTTTAATAAGACGAAACGGACATGGGCCGGGCACACTGCACGTAGGCAGGATAATTGCTGGTCATTAATGGTTAGTGACTGTATTCCAAGAGACGGCAAACATGTGAGAGGGAGACAGAAAATTAGGTGGGCAGATGAGATTAGAAGTTTGCAGGTATAGTGGCACAGCAGAACGTACAGGACCGAGTTGATTTGCGGAACATGGGAGATCTGCAGTGGACGTGCCGTGAAGCTGCATGGCGGCGCCGACAATATCCTGCTGTACGAGAGCGGGAGGCCCAAGCGACACGGCATACACACAGAGTTTCTCACTTTTTTAAATGACGATTGATTACACGGAAGATTCACGGTTTACCGATGATTCCCTCCGGAGCGTCGCCCACTCATTTTCATTCACCCCGTGGATATGCTGTCATTTTTTTTTTGTGCTTAGCGTTTTGTGCACAATTGTGTACACCATTGGTCTGAATAGCTGTGCTTAATTGAGTTGATCGACATTCAAGCCACATCAAAGGTATAATTTTTTTTGCTTGATATAAACGTAATGGAAAACGAATTTGCTTTATATTTCTATTTATCCAAAAACAACATGACTTCAAGATATATTTTTATTACAACCTAATTAGGAATGATTACTGTAAAGCACATAAATCAAAGTATTCTGGCAACATTTTTTTTTGCAGTATATTATTGAATATTATGAAGTAATCTTTTGTAAGTTTGGTACATTTGCAGATCTCTATAGATGGTGTCTGATAGGGTGGAGATGTAATGAATCGTAAACAATATTTTCCTACAGAAACAGCATTTATTTTACTTAGAACCAGTCTCGCAAATTTGCAATTTTGCTTCCTTGAGTTGAATTTCTCACAAAACAAGCCCAAAGAGGCCACACCTTATCTTTTTCTGACGGGTATATTTTGCCAGTCTGGTTTTCTCATTTGTCGCGTTTAGGTGTGTCTACATACAGGGGCGGAATAGCTGTGCCATTGTGCACCAAACTTGTTTACCTGCACCGCCTGCACTGAACCAACCCTGCTGTGCCAAACTCTCTGAACGATGCCGTACCATGTCGCGGCACCCAAATTCAGCCGCAAGGTGCCCCGGTGCCCAAAAACACGCCATTAAACATTGTGCCTTCAGTTTCATCAAAACAGATATAGTTGCGGTTTCATCAAGGCAGTGATCGCCTGTTCAGCAGCTTTGAATTCCTGACTGTAGGGTCTCGATTGGTGTATGCGCTATCTCGTTAGGCGTCAATGTGAATAGCTCGTACGCCCTTCTACATACTGCGCTCAAAATGGGAAGAAACTGTGCTATGAGTGCATCTCTCCAGCCATTCGTAGAGTTGTAATGCGATATTAGATCCAAAAGAGTTAGCTGCTGGCTTTACTCCATTTAACATGACTTGTTGCTATCGCATTCATTGCTTCACCCTTGCGGTGAAACTTTTTCACCTGATGGCAGCGTTCAGAAAAGAAGAGGGGGGGGGGGGGGTGACTGCAACGGTATTCAAAAGAAGCGGGTGGTGCAACACTCCCAGAACAGCCTAGTAAAAACAGGCTCAGGATGGTGCTTATGGACTCCGCCGTTGACGCTGGCGCATTCAAGTTAAAAAAATATCAGCGCTTGTAGATGGCTTAAGAAGTCACAGTTGCACCACAGGAGGTCAGCAATGAATACAATATCAACAAATTGTAATGTTCTACAAAGTGAGGCTGGCAGATAACATATTTATATCGGACATCACGTAACTCTACAAAATGCTGGTGAAGAGAATACGGCCATGCCAGGAGAGCAACATTTTTTGCGTAGTCTCTTCGCGATGAGATCACAGAACTTTGAAGTGTGTGAGCCACTTGCTGACCGTGCCTTAAGCAAAGTTCACTGTTGCTGCTCGAGCAACACCTCTCCCCAGCCTCGTGTCTTTTCATGCTCGTTCAAGACAGGCATAGCGTTTCCTCTCTGCTTCAATGGGAGATCTCTCAAGCGGGGTGATGTTTGTCGCTTGCACCCTCCCGAGTGACGGGGATTTGGCGGCTTGTTTGATCCCTGCTTCAGCCGAGTTCGTCGCCCCTGCTCGCGTGCTTCTGTTTAATACCCGCGGGTAAAACCCAATGCGCGAGGATATGTTATCGATTTCAGCTTTACATGCAGTGGTGGCAAAAACCCGTTGATAGGGTCCATATAATAGCAATCACAATAATAATGCAATGGCACAAATTTAGCTTGCTGTCTGAAAATTGTGGCATTTGATATATGTTGCTTCACAAGTGCTGTGAAACGGGGCTACATTTGTTTAGAACATTTTCTCTGACCGGTAGTGTAAATTGTGGAGGGGGAGGGGGGACAGGACACCCCCGTGTTTAGGCTGGTGCGGGGGGGACATTTTATGCAAATGTCTTCCCTTGAGATTTATCTTCCCAATGTTCCATTTGAGTATCTTCACAGTCAAGAATAATGCACTTTCCGTAAAACCAACTCTGAAATCTGGAGCATTTTCATTGAACAGAAACGCAGTACTTCTAGCCAGTACACACGATGGGCAATAAATACCGTGATGTGTCAGTACAAAAAGTGCTGCCATTTTTATTGCAGGCTTTAACCCAATTGATGTAGCTGCGAAAATGCTAGCGCCTGCTTATAAGTTGCTATTACAAAGTAACTTCGTATATACTGGTGTATGCTCAATGGTGTATGTTCTGACCCGGTGCCAATATTCATAACCGTTATTATATATGTGAATACATAATTGTTTTTAATCATACATAATTACAAAGTATATGTATAAAAACAAAATGGCCACCATTACAATATGTGTGTCCCCCTTGTTGTCTCCGTGGATCCTCCAAGCTTGCTACAAAAGGCACCTTTTGCTGCTCCCAGGACTGCTTCCGAACCCATGTACCCTGTTCCACCCCTGTACACATATATATGTGTGTGTGTTTAGTGGTAACACTCCGCTGTGGTGCGCATTCCCATTCTCTGGAACAGCCATCGCTTGGAGGCCTAAACATTACTTTTTATATTCTCTAAACTGTCCAGGCAAGGCAAGCACTGGCACCTAATAAGACTGGTCCAAGTTGGCAGTGCAGGTAAAATAATTTGGCCAGCACTTAAATCTGAAGACTTCGGTCAGTGCTGTCAAAATAAATGTGCATATTGTCACAAGGGTAGACCAGACTGAGTCTTTCCTTTGATTTCCGTGCAGTCCCACACTGCTGCCGTGCCCTGCACCCAGTGAGCAACAGTCCAGTGAGCTGCACGTAGCGGCTCTCAAGGTGGATGACCACAGTGGCAGCAGCATCGCAAGCAGCAGCAGTGGCTTTGGCAGCCTGCCTCGTAAGCAGCGGCCTACCATGGGCAGCACATCTGCAGGTGCCGCATTTATATTGACCTCTTTGTCTTTGTCGCTTCGTTGTCCAAGTGGGCTGTTTTTCCACCACAGTCTACTACAAAAAGCTCTAAGCTTGCCTGCTTCCATCAGATTATAGTTCTCCAGCCATGATAGGCATATAAAATAGAGTGAAATCTCGATAAGCAGTAACTTTGTATTAGGTGTAGTTCAGACGAATCCCTGTTCGGTCTGCCAGACGTCTAATATGCTTGCTAAGGGCTTAAACGGACACTCAGGGTAAATAGCAATTTTAGCAGCACTCGTAAATGAACACCTAAGACTGTCTAAAAGGTCAATATTATCTATAAGCATGTAATCAAGATCTTATAGTTAATGTACATTACAGTTAACATTGGATACGAAAGCCAACTACTGCAGGACGTCTCACTGCCATACTGGTGACAGAGTGCATACTCAGTATCACTTTGTCAGTAGTATTTAACCACCCACAATAAAAGGGTCATTGCTGCACATTGTAAGATTAAATAAAATGCGTGTTTTCTATTTGGTTCTTCAAAAATAAATATTTAGTGTTGGCCTGCTAAAGAAACGAAAAAGAGCCCATTGTCTAGAGTCCCCTGAAAATTGTCAGCTGGCATATTGCCATTGCATTTCACATGAGAATTTCATCAAAGCCACATTTTCAATGTATCTACGATTCCTAAGCTCTTATGATAGAAGAAGTAACTTCACTTCTACATTTAAAATGCATTTTTCTCAAGATCCATTTTGGGCGACTTCTTGAGTTTGGACATCATTATTTTGGTATTTTGGATAGCCCAATTGGAATGAGATTTAGCTCACATATTCCTTAATGGCAAGGGTGCAAATATATTTTTGAGACTTGATATCTAGTCTATAATTATTGCAAACTTAATGTAAGCAATTAAGTGCACTGAGGAATTTATATTCTCACATAAAATTTTTCTTGGCCATCAAAATGTTCAATTTGCACTTTTTTTAATTGTTATTTGCATTTTACAGCTAATGTGGAGCAATAAAAGCCATTAATGGCTCAGAACCATAAAAATTTAGTGGTATAAAAAGTTTGTCCAAGCAAACTATATTTTACACATTGTCTTGGCACACACACAAAAAAAAACTGGAACTTACCATAAAACTAATTACATATTTGAAATTGGCATAAAAGCGTATATATGCATCAAAAAAATTCGTTGCCTTAGGCTAGAGAATTACACAAATTTTTTTCCAACTTGCAAACAGGGCATGGCCAACATGTTCCACAGCGAAGCTGTATCACTATTTTTGTTAACCCTTGCTCTGCCATTGCCACATAGAGTAAACTCCCCTTAAGACAAACTCTGTTAAGAGGACTTCTTGCTTAAGACAAACAACACGGGAGTGTTTGTTTGGTTTCCCATAGACTCAATGCAAAAAAGATCTGTTTAAGACGAACCACGTAACAATCCTCTTCTGTGAAGACGAACTCTTGCAGTGACCAACAACGACAAGGATTCTGCGCAACAAACTTTATGGTCTTAATAGGGGTATTCAGGCAAAGAAGACAAAGCAAAATGAAAAAATAAATTCCTGGTGCAAAGACTCAAAGGAAATCGAAAGCAAATTGGGACGTTGAAGGAGAAACCGAGATAAGTGGAAAAGAAAGGTCAGTGCATGAAGCATAAAGGGCCTATACTACATGGTTTACTTCTTTAGAGTTTGAAATGCAGTGATATTGTTCTCAGCTTATTTTTCATTAGCTCTATGGAAATATACTTTGAACACTGAATTCAGTTGTGGTGGCCCCCTTTTGTTTTGATGTGTTTACTGGCTGTTTGCACTACTGGCTTTTGCTGTTCATTTCAAAAGTTCCACAATACCATTCTGCACTTCTAAGTCGCATTAGTGTTAGCTTATCTTGTTGTGCTTTTATGTACAGTGTAGACCACTGATAACGTAACCACTTATCGTGCAGGACTGGTTACAATGCAGCCTTTTTCGACCACCGTTTACCATCCTATAAGACCCTATGTATACGCATGCCGTCTATTGTGTAGTCCCCCAAGATGAAAGACCAGTTATAATGCAGTTGCCCGAAAATCGTTGTGACGAATGCGGTAGAGAATGTGTATCTGAAAGGAGGCATGCTGGGTGTCCCGCTGGGAAGTGAGCGACGAGGTCGTTACAGAGGAGAAAAGGCAGAGTGAACAAACAAATCGCGGAGGGAGGCAAAAGAAAAGAAAAAAAGACCACGGCACGCTGTGGGCGCTGCTGGTCACCCAGGAAGCCTTTGCACTGGCTCCGACTGCTTGGTGCCGGCTGCGTGCGGCTCAACATGACACGTGCGATTTTTTCTATCAACTAGGCTTAAGAGTTTCCTGTTGGAAAGAACGCCGTCGTTATCGAGCTTGCTGCATATATTGCGTTGGCTGCCCGGTCCGTAAATTTGAAAGCTTTTACAGCTTTATCACGCAAGTTTTTGTCTTAGCTTTCAGTGCATGGTCTTACATAAGCTTGGCAGGTTTTCGTTGTTGGTCTCCCAGCCACGAATGCAAACTTCATATCATGCACGCTGTTTTTGGTTCAGTGTGGTCCTTTCAACCACCGATCATCATGTCTTGGACAAACTTCCCGCGACGGCATACTGAATGGCAGGCTAGGCCTAATCAGTGTTGGTTGCATTTCGGTTGCAGTCCTGTGCTACCTAAGTTGCGGTTTGGAACGAAATCAATGAAACTCTTTGCGGTGGCTGCACTTGAAGGGAAGAGATCCATATTGTTAATGAAAACAAGTGTGGCACGTGTAGCACTTCAATTGGGGCTCGTCATTCAACTGCAGCGTTTTGAAATCGGGTGCACGCCCAGGAAATCGAACCATTGGCGCCTTTCAGCGCGTGAAATTTTAGACATTATTCGACGTAGTTTCTTTGTAATGCATACAATGGAGGCAGTCTGAGAAGTAGTCGCCGAAATTCCGCAACGTTGCTTTCACCTTATGCCAACGCAGGTTTTTGGTCTTCCCCCCCCTCTTTTTTTAACATTGGGAAATTCGAAATTTGAATGGTTGTAAGCTTCACGCATCGCATGTTTCGATTTACGTAAATTGAAGCATGTGATGCAACCTTTTTCAAAGGCGCAACTGCAGCCCTTGAAAAAAGTTGCTTTGGTTATAGTGCGGTACTGCTTATAGTGCAGATATTCACAACTCCTGCAACTTGCATTATCAGAACCAATTTTATTGTAATTAGTACGAAGGTTTCATATTGATAACATACAGGAGGTCCCGAAGTCAAAGACTGCAATAGGGCCACCTTTTCATAATAAATAAGAAATATTACAGCATATAAAATATATGCATTACAAAGTCTGAAAATAGAAAAGATTGAAGTTGAACAGAAATCAATTGAACTGGAAAAAAGAACACGCGAAGTAGTAAGAACGAGGTCATCAATAACAATACTCTATGGACAAGATTGCAAAGATGCTTAAAAATCAGAGCTTGAAAGAATATAATCCTTTAATTTTTTTTAAGTTCATGAATTTTTATTGTTATGATTTCGATGGATTTGGAATTCCAGGCAGTGATGAACTTGAAAAGGATACTCTGCTTGCCATAATTAGTACTTATTTTAAGTAAGGCCATGTTACTGTGTGCAAACCTTCTAGTATTATTATATGTTAGATATGATCAGGGTATAATGCCATTGCATTGTCTCAAGTTAATTTCTTGGAATAAGAATTTGGTAAGGCTATAAATGACGAGTTTCAAAACTGAAAAGATGTGATTAGATTGTAAAAGATACGTGGCTTTGTGATTAAAATACTACACGTAATTATTTTAATAGCGTGGTTTTGCAGTAGTTGTAGTGGATGTAGATGTGTGATGTAGATATTTCCTCTATATGTAATGCAGTAGTTAATGTGTGAATGGGCAAATGAAAAATACAATGATAGTAAAATGTCATGCTTCAATACGTGTCGTGATTTTAGAAGTACTCGGATCCCGTAGGCAATTTTTCGTTTTACTTTGAATATGCCATTAGTAAATTTTAGGTGGTTGTCTAGTTTTACGCCTAGATAATTACAAGATGAACTTGCTGGAATAGAAGTGAATCCAGAAATTATAGAAGGAATTGAGGGAAGTGTCCGCTGGTTAGACGTGAATAATACAAATTTTGTTTTTGATGCGTTTATGTGCAATTGGTTAGTTTTGCACCATTTGAGTACATTTCACGTGGCTGTGTTGCGAGATATTTGTCTTAGTTGGTGATAGTGGTGTCGTTTGAATAAAATATACATTTAGAAACAGAGACAGGCCAGTCAATCAGGTATAATAAAAACAAGAGAGGAACTAATATGGAACCCTGGGCACTCCAATATTGGTGTACATGGCTTTGGAATTAACACCTGAAATAGTTATTACTTGCATTCTGTTTTTAAGTAGTTTTGTCGCTAAAGAAGAGCTGGTCCAGTGAATTCTAGTGTTTCAAGTTTTTGAAACAATATTTTACGATTAATTATTTCAAAAGCTTTAGTTAAGTCTATAAATACTAAAGCATTATAACGACCTTCATCAATTGCAAATTTTAATTCATCTGTTAGTGCAATAAGAGCGAGTTCAGTTGAATACCCTGGGTGAAAGCCGTACTGTAATGGCGAGAGAATACTAAACTTTGTTAAATAATTAGTCAAGTAGTTTTCAATATGTTTTTCAATTACTTTGTTGAAGAATAGCATTACGCAGGGCGGTAATTGGAAATTAAAGAGTGGTCGCCCTTCATGAAAACTGGTGTGATCCTGCCTTGTTTTAGCTTATTAGGGAAACTGCCAGATTTGAACATGAAGTTTATTATGTGTGCAAGGCTATCAGTTAAGAATCCTGCGACTAATTTTACGTGGGAGGGGTGTAATTTATTAATTGCAGTATTGGTTATCTTTATGTTTTTTTATAACGCTTAGAACTTCTTGAGGGGTGAGAACTTCTTGAGGGGTGGTTGGAAATAAAAAGAAAGATTTAAGAAAGTGGTCTAATATGGGGTTATCGGTGAGGCGTTATATGGTGTTCCTCGCTGAAGAAAATGTTCGCGAACATATTAGCAATTTCTTCCGCGATTTTAAGCATTATTCCCTCATGAACGATTTCGAATATTGCTTCACGATTATGTGTACTATTGAAAACTGAATCAAGGAATTCTCATTTCTTTCGAATGTTATCACCGCATTCCAAGATTTTGTTTTCATACTACGTCTTCTTTGCTTGTTTCAAGTTTGTATAAAGATTGTTAGATAACTTTTTGTGCCGGGAAATCAGAGTCTTGTTGAATGGTTGTCTTTTGCTTTTTTTTCTCTAGAAATTGTCTTTCTTGTGCATTTAACGCTAGTAATTTATTTGTTAACCATGCGTTACGAGGTGCCACAATTTTTTTTTTTTTTTGCATTTGACTTTATGTGAATGACAATTGAAACAAGATTTGAGCGTAATTATGTATAGTGAGTACAAATTCTCAGAATCATTTGTACAAATGATGGAAGACCCCAGTGAACATTAGGCACAGCTTTGACAAATAATTGTTTATCCAGCATGTATTTCGTGTAAGTCATTTTTTTCAATGGCCTGGGTATAATGAAAGTATAAAAATAAGGGATAGTGGTCAGGGATGTCAATCATTAAAACGCCTGCCACTGGTGGAAATGGCAAATTTGATAGGGTGTGATCAATTAAAGTATCTATGCTGTCTTTAGGAAATTGGCTTGATACTTTAACCAAGCATTGATAATCAAAGCTGTTGTAACTAATATGTAGATGGTTAGAAGTAGACGTGTCAAGGAGGTTTATATTGATGTTACCGATAATAATTACCTTTTTATTTTCATTTGCTAGGATTCCCAAGACATTAAAGAGAGCGGAGCAGAAATCTTGTTCTGACAAAGGAGGTGATCGATATATGCAACCAATTATCAGGTTTTTGTTGTCAGTGTTGAAGCCGTACATCAGTTAAATCCAGACACCCTTGCAATTAATCATGCTTAGAGTAAGATCAATCCTCTTCTTATACAAAACATTGGAAAAGTACTGCTCCACCATGGCTACTCGATGGACGATTATTGTATTCAGCAACAAAATTAGGAAAGCAAAAAAGGTACTTATCGTGGTCATTCAACCAAGTTTCTGATATTCTGATTACTGAGAGCGGAAAAGAAAATGCAGAGGGCAAGTTGAAAAAGCCATCGAAGTGCTTGCACAGGCTTCGTGCATTGAAATGCAAAATGGATCGTTGCTTGTTTGACAAAACGTTGTTTAGCTGGTTGACAAAGAAGTATGATGAAGTTGTCATACCGTATAAACCGGAATATAAGTTGAGATATTTTCATAAAATAACCGAAGTCGCCCCTCGTCTTATATAGCGGTGTCTAGCTGAAAGTGCACCACTGTCTGGCACCATGTGGCTTGCATGTGCTTGAGAAGCCGGACGAGGTCATATCCGTATCCAAATCCAATTGCAGGCAGTTTTTTTTTTCTCTTTGTTTTTTTTGTGTTCGTGATTTGCTTTTGATCTGTTCTGAGTTTTCGCTCCACTTGACATGGTGCTGCATTTTTAGTGGTCTTTTTTTTTTTCATTCACTGAATATGAGTAGCGGTACGAGGAGGCAGTACTCTGCTGCGTTTTAACTAGATGTTGTTGAGTTCGCAGAAGCAAACGGAAATATGGCTGCTCAGTGCCGCTTTGGTGTATCAGAAAAAAGCGTGCGCTATTATTGGAGGACGCAGAAAGGGAAGCTGCAGATGTGCAATCCTTGAAAACCGTCGTTGCGTGGACGAAGTGCCGTTCATCCGCAGCTGGAAGATAAGCTAGCGGACTTTGAGCGGGAAGTTCGTGCGTGATCGCTGCCAGTGACCGTGGATACCATTCGCAAGAAAACCATGGAACTTGCTCTAGAAGCTGGGCTCACGAGAGAACTGTTACGTGCACTAAACTCTTGGGTGCATCAATTTATGTGATGCAAAGGATTTTCTCGCCGGCGGCGCACATCCATCTGTCAAAAGTTGCCGAAAGAATTCGAGGACAAGCTTATAAACTTTCAGCGCTTTGTGAACCAGCTTTGGGAGCAGAACGACTACATGATGGGGCAGATTGGCAACGTCGATCAGACCCCCGTGTGTTTTGACATGCCTTCGTCGACCACGATTACGCAGCGCAGCGCCAAGGATGTGAAGCTGCTGTCCACTGGCAACGAGCACTCTCGCTTCACCGTCATGCTGGCATGCATGGCAGATGGTAGAAAGCTTCCGCCCTTCGTCATTTTCAAACGCAAGACAATGGCGAATGGCGAAGCAAGTGTTCCTGCCTGGTGTTGTCATTCACGTCAACAAAAAGGGATACATGAACGAGGCCAAGATGCTCGAATGGATAAGAGTAGTGTGGAACCGTCCACCAGGTGCACTGCTGCGTCTTTGCAGCATGCTGGTGTTGGATGCGTTTCGTGGTCGCCGAGTGCGCGTTTCACAGCGTCGCCGCTGTGAAACGCGCACTTGGCGACGGGAAAACGGACCTTGCCATGATACCGGGTGGTATGACGTCCACCCTCTAGCCGCTCGACGTTGTGCTAAACAAGCCGTACAAGGACCGAGTGCAGCTGGAGTACCAAGAGGGGATGTTCGGCGACAACCCAAAGACACCGACGGGCCGCCTACAGAGGCCTCCGCTTGCAACTGTTTGTGGATGGGTGCTTTCCGCCTGGCGTTCCTTGCTAGATTCCATGCGGAAAAGACTTTCAAGAAATGTTGCGTCAGCAACTCTCTGGATGGCACTGAAGACTGCGCACTGTGGGAGGCGGCCAGCGACAAACTCTCGTCTTCAGAAGACAGCGGTGCTTTGTTGGACGAATAGGAGCAGTTGCGATGGTGGTTGAGAGGAGCTCCGACGATAGGGGTGCAGTGCGCCCAATTCACAAATAAATGTGGTTGAGCAGTTTGGGTTGTTTTCCTTTTTTTTTCTGTAACCTGAACTTGTGGGGTCGACCTATATTCCCACTCGACCTATAGTCCGGTTTATATGGTAGTTGTCTAGTGACACACAGTGAGGAAGCTTAGATTTGGACTAAGTTAACGCTAAAAGATCGGATTCAGCTCCAAAGCAAACCACTTGGTTATTCGTTGTTTTTCTAGACTTAACCTGGCAATTATCTGTCCACAAAAATCTCTAGTTTTTTTATTCTTCAAGGTGCAAAGCTTTGGAAAACAGAGCTTTGTTTTCTAATATCAAATGATCTTTAACATAAACTGGGTACTGTATTGTTGTTGCCAGCCCGATGTCACCTAAGCAAAGTCTTGCCTTCCTTGCCTTTGCCACAAATTCAGCTTTCTTTGCCCTTGAGCTGAAACAAGCCACAAAATTTGTGTTCAGTTTTTGTAGATGCTCTGTGAATGTCAAGGTCGATGGCTGTTTCAGGGCAATCAATCTTGTTGCAAATAGTTTGTATGACTGTCATGCAGTCTTCTCCTTGAGTGCAAGGAATTCCCTTAATTTCGACATTGTTGTGTCTTGAATATTGCTCAAGCTCGGAAACTTTCTTTGCGAGATTTTGATTGTTTGTCTTTAATTAAGCTTTTATTTTCAGCCTTGAGGTCGCAGTTTTCGGCACTCAGCTTTTCGACGAGTTTGTTCAGGAATTCAACACTACTTTCCTAGCCGTTAATTTTTTTCTTGAGTTTTACACCTACACCCAAACTGCTGGCTCTGAGCGGGAATTTCTCTAGTAGATTGTCTAAAAGACCTTGACTCACATCAGCAAGCTTCGATTCGTCTGCCTCAATTTTCTTCAAGAGTTCTGCATTTGTAGGCATTGTTAGTCGAACATACTCTAGAGGCTCAGTGAAACAACGTAAGAATCACAGATCAAAATAACACATAATTAACACAAGCTGTATCTGGCAGCAGCTACAGCAAGAGTGGAACAGTGAATCGATAATAGATAATATACCAAGCATATGGCGACTGACCTGCAGATGCAAACAGCATTGGTCAGTACGTGTTTCTACTGCTGCAACCACTGCCAGAATCGTAAATGTAAGGCTGCATGCTCAATACTTTTTGTGCAACTGCAGCCCTTGAAAAAGGTTGCTTTGGTTATAGTGCGGTACTGCTTACAGTGTGGATAATCACGACTCCCGGGACCTGCGTTGTAAGCAGTCTATACTGTAGTTGCTTTGTCAGGGAGCTTCACCAGTGTTTTAAGTTGCTGTGGAGTACTTTATGGTAGACTTCAGTGTGCACTTATTCTTATATCATGCAGAAGGGGGCAATGGTGGCATGGGGGGGTGCCCAGAGGCAAGTGAGCCCAGGCGAGAGGAGGACTTTGAACAGTGCCACTCGCGCAATTCCAGCTATCACAGTCAACATTCTCGTGGCTCTGGCTATGGCAGCCTCCAGTCACACTCAAGACAAGGTAGCTCCGAGTCTGGACATGTCAGGTAGGTCTTGCTATGACTCAGCACAAAGCCCAATAAACTTTGACAAATTAATATCGTATTGACTCACATAATGAGCTCACTTCTATTTTTCACACAAGGTTTACCCAGATTTGAATGGTGCTATCACTGCACACTGTAAAACTTTGGGAAGAAAAATTTTGCAATTCAAACAAGTTGCAGGTCAGAATTCTGATGGCTGCTGTGACTACAACCTATGAATATTAGGCTGAAAAGGCTTACCTTTGTGTTAAAGCTACATCTCCACTTTGCTTTGCATCATTTGTTTCATGGACAACACTGGACATGCAGCTATTGCGAAAATAAGGAAAGGTAACCAACTATTTCAGCGTATTTAATGTCCGTATATTTGTCTTTATCTATGCTGTGTCAAAACGATTTAGCTCACAGTACACTGTGTGTGAAAAATTACTCTGGGGGCTCTCAAAGGCGCTCAAGAACGTAACACAAGCAATTTTCTGGAATGCAGAAGAGGTGTGATGCAACTTGTGACTGTTATATGAATGAGTAGTATAAGGTATCATTCAGATGAGCTTTCTTGATTGCACTAAAAGTGTCATGTCATCGTCGTCCTGCTGTGCACGATTTGGCTCCTTCGGTCACCACATATCTACAGACACCTAAGCACACTTTAGAAGTTGCTAAATATTGTGAGCCAATGTTAGAATAGTATACTCGACAGGTGTATAAAAAATGGGCATTTACAGCTGTAGCTGACTTGTGCTGGGCTCATTTATTCTACCTGCAGCGAATACAGACAGTGCTGCTATGGGTCAGTAAAGAGAAATATTTTTTTGTTAGTACATTGCCATTTCATGATACCTTGCCCTCGAGAAGACTTTCCGCAAGTCTCAAAATTCAGGAGAAAAACCAAGCTATCAAAAAGAATGACTTGTGGTGACGCTACCCTTGAGATTCCTGCATCTACTCATCATCGTGACACAGATTTTTGATGGCATCTTTTATGATGTATATTTTTTTGTTAGTAGAATTTAATATTGTGGTGTGTTCTTAGGCACCCGAATACTTAACATGACAAGTTTTAAAACATTTATCTAGCTTATGTGGCAACAAAAAAAGAACAAACAAAAATATTGAAATCCGGGATGTCACACTGACATTTCAGGGGCTATTTCATTGTGCAGTTCAAAAATGCAGTTTTTATCCTCATAATAGACAACCTGTAATAGCTGGATTATAAAGAACAATTATAATTGATTTAATGTTCAACTTTGGTGACTTTTTCAAAATTACTGTCAGGATGGATCGAGTTAACTGAAAAGTATGCGGGTAATCGAGTTGCCCCAAGTTTATTGTTATGTATTTACAGGAACCTGAGTTCTGGTTCAAGCTATAGCGACACATTCCCAGGATCCTTGAAACCTCCAGATCGAAAACGCCCCATCAGCAAGGTACAGAACTTGCTTTATGTGAGTGTTGACTCTGGCTTGATCTTTCTCTTTTTCTCACTTGTGAATTGTCAAACGACGTATTGTCCTCTGTTGACTATTTTCTCCTGCAGCCTTTTCAAAATCCATGCTTGCGGGTCTTGATAGTTTGGCTGTCTTCATGTGCATTTTTTTTCTACTTTCATCCTTGACTTTGTTCCTTGCAGCTCTCATAGTTTCTGTGTTGAACCTATACAGCTTGCACGTTCCCAACTTACCAGGAAGTTAAGTAACTTACAGGAAGTCGCAACAGTAGCACTTCAATAAATGTAGCACTTTCATAAAAATGCTATATACGAGTCTTTCTGTCAAGGTGTATACAGGGCCTCTGCAACATGCGAAGTTCTATTTTAATTCTTTCTACTATTGATCATCATACTTGCTTTCTAGTTTAGGTAAGCATTCGTCTGGTAAACTTTAGTGTAAAATAGGCACTCTAGTGGGAATGCACATCTCCTGCTGTGTATCGCTTAGGCAGTGCTCAAAAGCACACCGTGAAGGAAGTGAAAAACATATATTACCGCTTCATGATGGCTGCCCTGCCGTCTTTATACTGCCTTCTTTACGCCTTGTCGGTTCATTTTTCTTTTGCTCCATCTCTTTGTCTTCTCCCACTTTCTATCCCTCAGTTTATCCCATGACAACTTTACATCAGCGTTTATGCTGCTTTTTGCCTTCATCTCTTCCTCTCTGACAAGCAATCTGAGCACTAACTGAAGCTACTGATGCTTTTTGATAACTACTAATGTAATGAATAACACAACCAATATTTGGAGTCTGCATGTGGTAATAGTACCACTGTAATATGCACCTCACTGCACTCATCCAAGTGCACTTCGCCCCAACCGCACTCAAATTCTGATACATTATTCTGTCTGCCTACATGTCTGTAGGGAATTTCGGTCCAATATATTCTTAGTCTGGCACCAAGCATACCCAACTATTTCTGCAGATTGCCGCAGAGCTCTCGCCTTCTCTCACTTTTCACATATGCGCAGCACTTTTTCTCATTAGATGAATGTCCTTACCAAAGTATCGGCCCCGCTTCTTGTGCATGTGACCTCCGTTATTCGTGGTTCAATCTGTTGCCTGCAAACTCACCACTTATGGCGAGGACAGGTGTGAGACAGCTGCGCATGTTGCGCATTTTTGATACATTTCCATTTTCTTGCGCCAAGCTGCTCCAAAACAGCCTCGAAAGCTAGAATTTTGATGCAAACCGCAGCTTCAGTGGGGAAAAAAGGCCGAGTTGACTAATAAGACGCACCCAATCGTGTTTTTTTTTTTTTTTTACTTAGCACCTTTTTGGTGACAAAGCTCCCATGCACGGTGCCGCCATAATCTCCTCTAAACTGTAGTAAATATGCCCGCAAAAATGTGCTGCCGGGTATTGAGTGTGCTGCTTCTACTAGCCAGGCTGTGTGTTTTGGTGCCTCTGTCACCTTGTGATAACCATAGCTGAGTGGCGAGCGTAGCGGAGCTGACTCTCAGGTTATTTGCTGTGCATGGCACGTTCCTCCAGTTGCTACAGTTTTCATGTCGACGCTGCTGCGTGCGGTCACCTACGCGTGCGTGTTTGCCATGAGTGAGTAACAGCAAACGTGGAGTCATTTCTCTGCATGCAACGCATCTCCTGGATGTCCTGGCTAGTGCAGGTTCTCAAAGTGGCTTCCGTGAGTGACAAAACGCGTACAACCCACTTCTGGTTTATGCCCATTCGCTACTAATTTATTTAGACAAGCGAGTTCTCATTGCATTAAAGAAAGCCATCGCACGTGAAATCCGGGCATCGGCATCCGCAGGTAGAGAGACTTGGTTATTTGCGAAGCCGTGGTGGCATTTTAAGGGGGGACATGGGTTTTAGAGATAACGTGGGTTATTTCTTCACCATATTAGGTGATAGCGCAGCCTTGTTCAGCTTCTTGAGCTTATTTTAGCTATACAGGTATATTTTAGGCAGGTTTATCATTTTCTGAGATAATTAGTAATAACATTGTATCTATTGCTTAAACAATAAAAATGTATGTACATAAAATTATATATACATTAACACATATATGGATACTAAAAAGCCTAAGGAGTACAATGCTGCAAGCTGATAGAAAATTGAACAAGTACTTATGGAATTATAGCACAATAAAGTTGACTGTCGGCATGTAACCAGAAAAAAAGAAATTTTTTATGAAAATTAAAAAAAATTAAGCTGCACATTAAAAATCGAATCTCAGCATTGATTTTTGTGCAGATTTAACTACAATGTGCAAAAAGAATTATAGCTCTAGCTATCCTAGGTCCGTTTTTACAGAAGAAGCAAACAAGGAAAGTGGTCAAAATCTGTGTTCTGAGAAAATGAGAAAAAACGGTTTAAACTTTATTTTGCCTTTTTGAGGGAAAAATATCATCGCACACATACTTTCAGTCAGTTAATATGCACCGGGAATGTAATCGGACTGATTGTCTGCATGAGCATGTCGTTTGTTCAAGTCCTGCTGCAAGTTGCCGGCGTGTGCTCGTCTGCCGACAAGGCTGCTTATCAGTTCGGTGACGGTACGGATGCTGATGTGCGACGAATGTGCGAGTGTCATCTGTGATCCGTTGTATGATACAGCGATGTTTTCCGGCTTGTCCAGATTGAGTTACAAGTAAATGTTGCACACCGAACTCGCGCACTCGCTCATAAATTTCGAGGGTGCAGGTGCGGCGAAGTGTTAGTTTCTTTTTTTTCACGTGAGATTGCCACATTTTCGAGTGGAGTCCGCGGCGCAATATGTTCATCATTGTGAACACGTCATTAAAAGCACTCTACCTGTTGCCAGTAGCCTCCATTGCACGGACAGCGAGCACGTTCACCGCTAACGGATTGATTTTCTGTTGTTTGTCGACACGCGGCGAACTCCACTCTGACGACCCATCACACAGTTGACACACCAACGAGGTCGTTTCGTCAGATGGGGGGAACGTGGAATCGGCGCGTTTACCAATAAGACTGCACTTCCGTACTGTCGCTGCAAAGATTGATATCTTTCGTAGCTTCACTTCTGCTTTTTTACTTGCCATCCTCCAACTGTTGAGGCTCCAAAACATGGCTGTTTTCAGTGACGTTGTCGACAACCGACCGGCTCGTACGTGAGTTAGGCCAACACCGGTGACTCGGCGACCTTCGTTGACTGCTGTGGGGTCGTTATCCTCGTCCTGAACCATAGCGGGGCTCTTTGTGAAGTTCACGGTGAACGAATCATCACCACACCCTCTTCACAAATTTGTCTGGCGCAGAACTTCTTTATTGCAGCACACATGACAAAATGGCGCATGCCCGTGCACGTTGGGATGCTGAAACAGACGTCGGAAATGCCACTTGGACACTCAAATGCTTAGGTTTTGTCACATGCCCCAAGCAGCCAATAGAATCGCGCGCTTGTATTTCTTGATGACGCGTTTTTGCTGAAAAACCAATGAGCAACGCAAGGCAGTGGTGGCGGGAAATAGAAAACGAAGAACCACCCTTCCAAACGAGACCAAGATAGCCACGATAGCTTGTGTGTAACGGCAATGGTTCGGCGCCAAAAAAAAGCGTGATTTTAGCGTCTGCTTGTGCTCACATTCATCTCACAGGGGTGCTATAAATGGATTTCACACCAGAAATAAGGACGCCAAAAGCTAGAAACTTCTCAGATAAGTGCAAAAATAGTCGCAGGTTCCGAAAATCTCAGGTTCAAAAAGTCGATTTTTTAGATTTTCGACCTCCTAAGACCTGTGTCTTCTCTTAAACGGTCACCTCGGCGCTTTATTCGTGACTCATGACGTGTCGACAACCACGTGGCACAGTTTTCATGAATGGTGATTTGCCACTGCTCAGTTCAGTAATCCAAACTCTGAACGAGCACTTGAAGAGGCGTCACTGCGTGCCGGCTCTGGGCTTCACGGGCTTTTAGGCTTAGCTTTATGTTCGATCGCCGTTTTGGTCGGCGGCCATTCTGCTGTGTGACTTCGTTTTCTTTTCTCTTTTATTCTTTCTTTGCAATGAAACCGACCTCTGTACATTCGGTGGTTCGTTTGCTTGGACACGAATTTCTTACCTGTGCAGTGAGGGCTGTAATCGGAAGTCAATGTATACATTGACTTCCGATACATTGACGGTGATGACCTACAATATTACAAAAATTAGAACTGGCCAACATGTGCAGTATGAATAACATGTGGTTACTCGCGTGGAGAGGCGTTATCAGTACCATTCGCTCATCACTTAGTGCCATACACATGTGCTTTACGACATAACGAGATAGTCAGTGCGGCGAGATTTCTGGGCTCTCGCGCTGCACTCTTCAATGGGGTCCCACACGAGGTGGCCGCGAACGGCGGTGCAGCGCACTTTTGTTGTCTGTTGAAAGCTCTTGACGCTATCATGTCAGCCTTTCTTTAAGCCAAGGACCACTGTTGCATAACTAAGATTCTTGTGCAGTCACAATTTTCGAATTTCTTTTTGAGTGTGATGCATTTTTCTTTTTAAATGTTTTCGAGAAACCTAGTTTTCAACAGGACCCTTTTTTTTTTAATATTATTTCACATGTTTGTTACGAGAGCTAGATAGGTCACATGTTATGAAAAAAAGGTAGCGCAGGTCATACCTGGCAATAATATGTTTAAAAACATCCTTCAAATCTATTTCAGTGTTATCTGTATTATAAACCAATTAAAATACACGCTGGTGCCCCCATGTTGCGAAAAATTTGTATTTTCAAGCTCCCAGGACGACATATTAAACGCTGCTAACTGCTCCAAAGCAAGGTTTTCCTGCTCCAAAATTGAAATTTTGCTGCTCCAAAAACTGCTCCCAATTTAGTTTCAGCCGTCTCACCCCTGCGAGGAGCTCGTGATATGGAGGCAAGCGACTTCCCTTTCTTGCGTGCCGTATTGGCGCGCATATCAACCACACAACAACCACATTTAGGCACCATGCTCTGTGAACGTTGTCTTCACATAAGGAGGGATTCGTCCATGCAGGTGTCAACAAAGAAGTAATATTTCATTCGAACCCCTTTATAAGTGACACTGATATAAGAGACAAATGTGTATAAGAGACACCAGTATGCCTACAGGTAGAAAAATGCATACAAGGTCCACTGCTAATAAGACATCTCGAATAAGAGAAAATAATTGCTGCCTGGAGCATGCCTTTTTTAAAAGGGTTTAACTGTAATAATAATAAAAAAATGTATGTCTATCTTAAAGCTAAGGGCACTTGTGTAGCGCATGTCGGGCACAAGATGCGTGGTGCCCCTGCGGCACGTGGTCATCAAAGCACCTGTCATTTGTTGTAGTTCAGAAACTGACATAGTGTAAAAGCCTGCATATAGCTCGGACCCGCGTATAGTCTGGAGTGTAATTCGAGGATAGTAAACGCGAGAAAAAAGTTTTTACTTGAATATAGCCCGAGTAAAATGGAAAAATGCATTTATTGACACACTTCATTCATCGTCGTAGTGGGACGAGATGGAGTACTTTTTGAACGCTCTGCAAACAAGCGCCTCCAAACAAGGCCCAAGCCTCGACTATCCACGCGCACAGCATCGCCTGCGAGACCCGTTTCAGCCGTCCGGCAGAGGGCACTTCTGCTTCTCCGGACCTCGTCTACTCCACGTACAGACGCTTGACACGGCCCTTAAATGGCTTATTAAGGCACGTATCAAGCGGCTGCAGCTGTGATGTCATCTCGGGGATGACGACGAGTTCGGTGTGGGAGTTGCTTAGCAGTCGCTTTACAGAGGCGGTCAGGTGACACCGAAAGCCGTTGAGCACAAGCATTGAAGGGAGCGCCAGCAGTGCACCGGGCCGTCGACACCACAAGAACTTTATCCAGTCAAGCACTAGCGATTCGTCCATCGACCCGTTGTCCTCGCAGCAAAGGACGACATTTTTGGAACTTCTCCCCCTTCGGCAGCGGTCGCAAGCTACCACGTAGAGTGGTAGCTTGCGACCTTCTATAATGCAGGGCAGCATTACAGTCACCCGCGTTTTTTCTTTCCAAGTTAATTGCAGGATAACTTGCCTGGAGACTTTCAGATGCAGAGTCAGCGCAGAGGGCATTTCCAGGTAGACCGGCATTTGGTCCCCGTTGCCGATTTGGCCCTTCTGGAAGGGGACAGCCTTTCGCAACGCAATTACATACTTTTAAAACTTTACAAGGTTCTCTTCGTAGCGCTTTGGCGGATTCTGTGAGATTGACGTACGCCGACGTAGGGAGTACCCAACGGGCGCATGAAAAGAGACACCCAATACTTGCTCACCTTTGAAATCCTCCGGCTGAATGTCTTTGTCTCGGGTGATCTCCCTTGCCTTTGCTTGTGGCAGCTCGATGTTGACAGCGAGATGTGCAGCTCGCTGCTCCCGCACAAAGTCTACGAGTTCTCGTTCCACGTCAAGAAACACTCCATTTTTTGGTCCGCGGAAACTTTTTTGCTGGCCGCTGCAAGCAAAAAAGGCATCCTTCTGCTTCTGCCAACGGCGAATACTCCACTCGTTGACTCCGAACTGCCGCTCCGCAGCACAGTTGCCAGGTTTCGGCACCAGCGATAACTTTCTTTTTAAAAGCAGCAGAGTACTGCCTGCACGGTGCTGACATGGCGTAAAATCACAGGAGCAAAATCTTGGCCATCGTTATGGGCGCCAAGTTGAAGTAAAGACCACTGACCACATTCGCACACGCGGGTATATAAGACAAATGGTTGCTACCACCGCTGACACTGCCCATTACCTAACCCAGAAGCGCGCAAACACTTAATGATGCTTATAGCACCGCGCTATACCGAAACCAAAACTGAATTTCAGAGGAAAATTCTTGGGACTCGCATATTGTACAGGGCCAAAATTTTGTACCCTAAAATTCAGAAAAAAAACATGGGCGATATGTGGGCTTTACGGCAATGCAGTGGCAAGCCAGCACTCAGTCTTCAGCCACACATATAATGACACACTGTGAGGCACACAAAATGTAGGACTGTGCTCAGGTGTTTGTTATGAAGCACTCTTTAGACAGCCAATATTGTCAACCAAGAAAAAGGCGTCTTACAAATAACTGTCTCTCTACGAGACTAACTTTCCCATTGATTCCCACTTGCATATTGCAAATTACGCCCGTGATTGAGTGCGCTCTGCTCTGCTGCGGCGTGGGTTTCTCTCTGCTCTCAGACTACCAAAGTGCAGATGTGTGTGGTGGCTCTGTTAAATTCAAAGTGATATGCCAAACTTCATCTCTGAAATTCAAGACTGTGCGAGTCAAATGAGAAATAAATTGGATGCAGTGGCATTATAGTAGAATCTCGATGATACAAATTGGTAGGGAGCATGCAAAGTATTCGTAATGTGGCATGGCGATTAGGGTGCTCGACTGCTCATCTGAAGATCGCAGGTTCGATCCTGGCCATGGCGGTCGCATTTCGATGGGGGCAAAATGGTAGAGTCCCATGTGCTGTGTGATGTCGGTGTATGCTAAGGAACACCAGATGGTCGAAATCTCGAGAGCACTCCATTACAGTGTCCCTCATAATCATATTGTGGTTTTGGGACATTACACTCCAGATATTATTATTATAATATAAATATTTATATGATCATAAAGATGAGCAAGAACTTTATTGGGGTCAACTACTTTTTGCTGAAGAAGTCCGTGATGTTCTTTTGAACAAGTGTTGTATTTGTGCATTGCTCTCCTTTTGTTTAATGAATTCCCAAGATTGCACATTAGTCATCAGCATAAATACACATGTAGGTGCATGAAGTGATGTGCTTTATACTAGTTGCAGATCATCAACTAACTTTGAAAGTGCGAGGCAATCGTATATTCAATAGCTGTGGGAATGAGAGTATTTTTTGCTTGTTTGTTTGTTGGTTGCTTCACTGGCAGTCCTTGGTGGTTATTGTAACTTCTCACAAGCCCTCTCTTGCAATTTCTCTAGCACAATCTCTTGGGGCATTGTCACATTGCTTTGGATAAGCATTGTATTTTTGGTGTGTATAGTAGATGTGGTTGTTTGCTTGATGGGAATAGTATTTTGTTGCACTGTTCCGAGGTTTTGTTATGAAGTGGTCTGCTGCAAAGTGCATAGATCATAACTTTCTTCTTTTGATGGCAATGGGGCCGTCCTCTAAGCTTAGCCTGAACACGTTGTTTGAAAAGCCTGCTTTCCTCTGATTTAATCATTATGTTGCAGAAACAGATCACTGAGGAACATCGCATGGACTCGACGCGTGTCAATGCTGACCAGCTCATTGAGGATCTCATCCGGGACACAAACCTCGAGGCAGAGCCTACCGAGGGCCAGGGATTGCAGCTCTTTATAGGAAAAGATGGAGTACCGGCTCTTAAGACGGGCACTTCATCTAGCCTCAAAACCACCACATCATGTGATTGAGCTCTCTTTGTGCAGCAGCCTTCTCCACCCCTGTGTGAGCTGTACATGTTTCAATGTCTTTATTCTTGCTCACGTTTATTGATCCCTCGTTTTCCCTTTCATACTTGTCTAGCCTGCATTGTTGCTTCTCCACCTAACGCAGTGCCTCCCTGCACTTTCTTGGCGACATTCTCTTCGTTTCTTTCCTTCTCTCGGTACACAATTGTGGACTTGAGTCATTTTCTGTCAAGCATTGTTGGCTTGTTCGGTTTGCAACGGCCACTGTGAAATTCACTTACTTCCAACCTGGCAGCAGATTAAAAGTTGGAAATATAGTTGACATCTGACTGAGCTGCTGCTAACGAATCTACATTACAAAGGCTACTTTTAGGTGCTTTTTTTTTTATGGAGCAGCAGAGCGGAAAGCAGCATGGGCTATGTGCCCTTCTTCACCACTGACCCTCTTGCAACGTTCTGGCTTATCCAGTATATTTAAGTGGGTTGTCTTGTTCTCTTGCACACATCTTCAGATGTTCTTTGTTTCCCTATAGCCTTTTATTAAGAGCTTTATTGGCTTCACAACTGCAGACACTGCTGGCAGCACACAGCCCATGATGCCATTAAATTCCAGGATGTGACAAAGTAACTAGTAAGCAAATAATGTTGCTGTAACAGTGAGAGCTTGAAATTATATATATATATATATATATATATATATATATATATATATATATATATATATATATATATATATTCTTTTTGTGCATGTTCAAGAAGCTGCTTCAACCATATACTGCTAAGAAAAAGAAACTTGAAATGCATTTATTAAACTTCGAGGTAACTGAAAATTTCCTGGGGTGCTTTGTAAGTGCTATGCAACCACACTTCAAAAAATTTGGCATTATTTTCATTGGTAGGTAATCACATGTAACTAAATGGAGTAGCTCTTTCCAGTTCTGACATGTGTGTCAAAAGTGCCTCTGCCAGTGGACAGTGCCATCATCTGATTTTTAGTACGCAAAACTATAGCGTATAGCAACTGATAAAAGTGAGGTGAAATTGTAGCCGGTCAAGTAATAAAATATGAGTTGTATAGTCAAATTCAATATTGTTATCCATTGCACATTCATAGAGTCACTTTACCACCAAACACAAGGTTTAGGAAAAAGACTACATCCCTAATGTTTTAGCCGTATGATCTTTAGTGACATATGTTGTCAAATTGATTGCTATTTTTATACCCTATATCATGTATTTTTATTGGCAGTTGTATGTATAAGTTTGAAGGTGCTGAAGTCTTGTACACATTTAAACTCTGTTTAATATTTAACATAAGCAAACAAGCTACAACGTGGCTGAGTACTTCAGGGGTCCTTGAGACTGCATGCAGACTAAGGGACTCCAAGATTTGCTTGTGGTACATCAGGTAGCAAGTGGAACCTTCTTTATCAGAAGATGTAGGTTGCTTAATTTGCATGTCCTACATGCTGTCCTGATCACGTTGCTATGTGCTGTTGTGTAAACTATCTTTTTCCTTTTTGCTAGAGTCCTCTTTCTTTATTTTCAAGTTTTCTATTATAATTTCTACACTGTTGGTCAATTAATTTTCTGAGAGCAACATGCTGTTCTCAATGGCTTCCAAGTGGTATTTAGCAAGTTTTGGAGGGCGTCTTTTATGACACCTTTCAGCATGCTCCTTCTTTTCCTGTTTGCCTCTTTTTTGTTGGGCTTTTAACTCAAGTGAGAATGTAATGTCTTGTCACTATTGCTTGTTCCCAACATATACAAGTTGCTTAAAAGCAGGTATGCTGATGAGAAGTGTCTGTCTCATTGCAGTCACCTTCGGTTATGGTTCTCCAGCTCGAACTGTTTGTTCATCTGGTACCCTATTCTACCTGCTAAATGTATCTTTAGTGTTTTCTCAACCTGCCAAAATGTTACCCGGTTTTTCTTCGTCTTTTTATTTTTTTTAATTGGGCCATTGGGACTTTCGAGTAGATTTCCCATTACGGTTACCTTTACAGTTTGCTCACATGCCTGTGAATTCTTCAAAATTTTGTGAGCTCTTCTAGGCAGTCATTATTTCCCCATTGTTTACTGTTTGTTTCTCCCTTCTATTGCCTTGGATTATTGTACTTTATGAAAATAAGAATTTGCACGAGTATTGTGCATAAATTTGCATGGTACACAGGATATATTATATTATATATAGAGATGTGAAAAATGTGTTGAATGAAAGTTTTTGAACGCATGGACCAAGTGCTGTTATAATGAATGATTGTCTTTCTTGCACATATTCCTGCGTATAGGCATATGTGTTTGTGAGTGTGTATAAAATTTCACAGAATGTATGTGTCTTCTCAATTTATACCTTTTTCAGTGTTCTGCATGCTCTGTGCTTGTTCTCGGTATACACTATGCTGCTAACTAACACTTCCCCATCTTTTTCAAGAACTGCATCCTTCTGTTTTGCTGCTTAGCTCTCACTTTTGCATAACTGTGAACATCTTCTTCATGGAATGAATGTGCTTTCTTCTCATTTTCAGCAATATTTTCTTTTTCCCTTTTATATCACATTTGCTTTGCTCAGTTGTTGAGACCAAATGTGTGCCTTCAAGTTGCTTTATATGAATGCTCTAGAATGGTTGTTCTTGTATAGATAGGCATCCTGCACCATCTGCTCACATCTGCCCAGTGAGCTCATGGTGGAGCTTTTCTTTAATATGAGGCAGTTATCTTCTTTTTTCACTGCGCTTCTCTTTTTAAAAAGACACATATGTAAGAGTCTGTTTTGTGCAAGGTATTTATAGAGTTTCTAGCTGCGGGTGGATGTTGAATATTGCCATTATTGTGCTTCAGACATCGTTTTATGCTGGCATGCTAATGAGAACTGGCTTACTTGAAAATGTTTATCTAGAAGACGTGTTCATTTTATAACCACTAGCATGGTGATGGAAATGAAAGCCCTGGGAGATTTTCTGTCCTGAGTGATTATTCTCAGTCCTCGAGCAGCGTAATGTTTTCTTTTACGGTCCTGAAAGTGATATTACTGCTGGCTTATGTTCTAATATAGAAACTTGTTGTTTGTGCTTAAGCTATCCTAAATATAGATAACAAGACTATGATATCATGCGTCCTTTATTTTTTCCATCACTATTTCAAAATGTGGGAGATATTGAGGTGTCACACTTTTTTTTTTTTGCACTATCCTGGATTGGTACGATGGGACGATGGGATGGGTATTTTTTTATTTTTATTCTGAATTTGCCATCAGCGTTCTCTGGTTAGCCTAAATGGTTAAACAAGCCTTGCCCATTTTGCTTACTGTTCAAGTGGCGACTGGAAACTACAAAAACCAGTAACGTCAAATGGCAAGTATTCAGAAATTTTTCATTTATATAGGACAAACTTGAATATGTGTGGACTAGCTGGCAAGTGTACTCCATTTGAAACTGAGCGGAAAATGGCGGCAAATTGCATCTTAAGAGAAATTAAATGACTTCACGGATATACCAGTGCACTAAGTGCAATTATTCGCTAATAACTTCACTTTTGCTACCAGCTAAGGGTACTCATTGCAAAAAGGCCAGTGAATGGCCATCTTCTATTCTATCTATAGGGGGGCACTTTGCAGCTAAAATGGAAGTTTGTTTTTGCTTGGCACGTCATTCCTATAGGGCGTTCTCACTCTTTTTTTTTTTTTGCACCATATGACACAAAGGTGCTGTGGGTACAGCTTGGGAGCTTTTAACCAATCGCAGAATGCACTTGACAGATGTAGAAGGGTAATGGAATGAAGGAATCGTACTATATAGTGCCCCTTCTCTGCAGTAGTAGAAAAATTAACGATCAGGTGACTGCATGACGAATACACTCGTAATAGAATATTAAGGAGTGTGGTGTAATTGTACTTTGTTTTATTTTTTCAGACACTTTAATCTCTTGCCGCTGTGCTAGCTGAACTTTTAAACTGGTCTTGCTGATCTGGTTTCCCACAACCAGCATAATTATCAGCCCACAGTAGCATTCCCTGCTATAAAGTGAAATGCCATTTCTCTTAACCATGTCTGAAGCAAGCAGTTTTTTTTTCTTTTGTGTGTATGTGTTTGTTTTTGTCAGAAACAACATATGTTTTTTGTTATCTAGAAAGAAGTGGAATGTGTATGCCACGAGTGATGCTGAACTGTAACCAATGCTTAAGTTTTTTTAATTAAGAGTGTGTACTTTGTGGCATTGAGAATGCCTGCTTTCTCAGGTTCGGTTGAAGATTGAGGGGTAGAAATGCGTAGGAAAAGCTGTGACAGTGTGAAAAACTTCATTTTTTATTCAGTTATATTATGGAAGTTAAATTGGCAGCATTGCAGGCATTTTAAAGTGCTTCAGTGCATTTGGTTGACAACTGCATATACGTAAACAGGCAGAGCCATGTGTGCTGTCTTTTATTAGTGTCATCATCTGTAACAATTCTTCATTATTTTGGAATGTTATTGGCTAGCCGGAAGACGTAATTTTGGTGCTTTGGAAATGCCACCATCGTTCCCCACTGCACAGTGCATTTCCTGGCATTTCTTCCTCTCGTTAGCACTTAGTAACTGCCCTTCCCTTGGAACAGAGAGCATCACTTGCGTGGTTTTGTGGGTGCAGAACTTTTTGAACGTTATAATAATTGTGCTAAAACGGAAGCGTAGAGCCGGTCTTTTGCTTCTGTTTTGCCTTCCTCTCTCTTTCTGGCACCTTCTATCAGAACGCATGTGACCTTGCTGTGACATGAGTGTCGTGTGTGGACCACACATTTGTCAGATAGACACACGCTATGCTCAGCTCCTTACTTGTTAGTCATATGCCGTTACATATTACTGCAGATTAATTTGTCTCGCAGTATATGTGACCAGCTCTGTCGCACTGGTGTTCTTTCAACAGAGCCATAAGTTTGCACATTCCAGTGGCTCAATCCTGGGCCACTGGTAATAACTTCGGAGTGGCACAGCAAAGCTGCCCTGCAAGGATTGTCTTGTGTTTAGAACATTCAATGAGCACCCAGCACATTACACACAAACTGGCACTGGGTCAGTGGGCTGTAGTTGTCATAAAGTTAGCATGTGATGGCTGACATGTGCTGAAGCTCATTGGATTGACCTTTCCAAA